CGAAGATGCCGATGCCGATGAAACCAACAGCGATGCCGATGCTGGCGGTGAGGAAGGCAAGGGCAACGGCGTGTCTACTTCGCGCCCCGTCCCCCGTGCCTATACCTCATTCCTGCAATGGCTGCAGTCGGCCTGTGGCGGCGCACCCACGTTGGGCTACCCGGCAGTGATTGTTTTCATTTCGACGATCCCAGCTCGAGTTCTTCCCAACGACGACTTGGATGCCGCTTCGGACCTTCTCACGCAGTTCTTCTCCGCGCTGTACAGCAGAGCTCTCGACTTCGACCCCACAGGCTGCCGCGCCTTCCTCGCTTCTTTCGTCGAATGCGTCTCGTTCCTCTCTCAGCGTATGGCACGACAAAGTTCTGCCTCAGACAAGGACGCCGCGACTTCGGCTAAGGAGCTTGTACGCATCCACTTTGGAGCTGCCTGGAACGAGCTCTTGCTTCCGAAGAAGAGGTTGCTCGCCGCGCTCGGCATCGCAACAGATGCTGACGAGGGCGACGAGGACGCTAGGGCGCAGCGCATCAAGAGCATCGGTTCCACGCGCATCGTTTCGGACCTCGCAGTCCAGGTGCGACGACTCGCCTCTGCGGCCCCGGACCTGCAGCTGCTTGGATCGTTCCTTGAGGAAGCGCAGTCGGATGTCGCATCCATCGTTCAGGCGCTATCGCAGGCTCCCGCAGATGTATCGCCGCCCGCACAGGCACGTCTGCTCACCTCGTTGGAGCGCGCCACGTCGTTCCACGCTGCTCTCGCCCCTGCCCACGCCCAGTCCGCCAGTGGTGAGCTCAGACGCGCCTCTGCTTCCAGCTTGGGCTCGTTCGCGAAGCTTGCATCGTCATCGTTGGCCGACATCGCCGCTGACACTGACATGCCGCATGATTTCAAGCGAACGCGAGCAACGCTGTTGACCGAGTTCCTGTGTCTCTTGCTTCGGGCAGTGGTCAGCTTCCCTGACGCGCTTGACTCGTCCGCGTCGGAGCAGCTGGCACAGATTGCCGGCGTGTCGATTCCCCAGCTGACGACGATCAAGAGCGTGGCACCTGCTCCAGCGGCCACGTTCCTCGCAGCGTATTTGCCGCTGTGCAAGGACGAGCGCACACGGGCATCCATCTGGACCGAGACGCTGTCTTCCGTAGCCGCCCTCAGCGAGCTGTCGGATCAGGTCGACGCCATGACCGAGCTGGTCGCGGCTTCTGCCGCCGTTGGCAAGTCGATCGAGGCTGACACGAGCTCAGGAGCGCAGCTTCCCGTCCCTCCGCCAGACGCCGGCATCGAAGATCTCGTCATGGAGCTCATCATCTCGCTCTGTGATGGCGCGAGCCTGCCCGACGAGCTGCGTCACCGTCTGAAGAGGGTCGTCGCAGCCATCCTCGCCAGGCCTAGCCCCTTTGTCAACCAGGCGTCGAGCCAGTCGATGCTGTCCATGGTCACATCCACTATTGAACAGCTCAGGTGGACACTGCTGGAGCGGGCTCAGACGAACACGGATGTTGCTGTGCGCCAGCAGAAAGCGGCAATCGTCGTCGAAGACCTGCTTGACTGTCTGGATGCTTGGAGGCAAGCGCAGCCAAAGGAGGACGTCGCGCAGCTGTTGCTTTCCCGCGCTGCGTCGAAAGGCGTCATCGCGGCCTTGTCGGATCTATTTGCACTTCACACCGCAAGCAAAGACGATGGCGAACTTTTCGAACAGGAATGGACGGAGAAAGAGCGCGCATTTGCCGGGTTGTGGCGCAAGGCGCGCGATCTGCACCAGCAAATCACCCAGAACGCCTCGCCGCAGCTTCAGAAGCAGATGCGCGAGGAGGCGCTCACCAGTCTGCAGGAGCATCTGCTCGACATTCAGGTGCCAGTCGTCCGAATCGTTGCTGCAGCAGACTACGACGTCGCCGTGCTGCCCGAGCCCAAGGAGCTCGCCGAGATGATTGCCAAGGCTTGCAAGCAGCGCACACATCCCGCTCTGCTCGTCTTCGACCCACTGGTTCCGCAAGATGCGGTCTCCGACTCGACCAGCACCGCATTCGATCGGCTGTTCGACCAGCAGGGTCTCGGCATTTTTGCTCGAGTGGGCCTGGCGGCGCTCCTGATGACGGAAAGGGACCGAGCCAATGCTCGTCGCCACCTTGATCTGCTGCCGCTTGTCGTCATGTTCTCGATTCTCATCGAAGACGACCTGCTGCTCCCTGGTGCTTCGAAGCATGCGCTCGAGTCGGCAGCTGCACCAACGGCCCACCGCGCGTGGCTGCAAAACGCAGTCACCGTCGTCACGGCTCTGGTCTCGTCGCTGAGCGATACCGTGACTGAAAGCTGGCACAACGACATGGTTGCCTCGCTGCAGCGCTCCACCATCGTCGACATGGACAAGGACGGCATCGGTCACGTTCTCTCCAAGCTGTGGCAGACAGCCGCTGGGCTGGAAGTGTCGAGTGCTTACCTCGCGCGCATCTTCCACCGTCTGCTCAACGCCGTGTTCAGCTTCGGTACCGTCACTGAAGCTGGTGCCGACCGCTGGCTCAAGCTGGGCGATGCTGTTCAGGACCGCATGCCCGCGATGACGGCGGCCGTCTTCCACGCTGCCAAGTCGATCGCGGGCCTGTCTCCCGGCTACGACCGCCTGCGCAACGGGGCAGCAGCCAAGCTGTCGGGCTCGGCACCGGATCGCGTGCTGCGCTCGCTGCAAGTGCTGGTGGCCTTGGCACCGCCCGTGAACTCGGAGCTGTCGATCATCCCGCAGCAGCGAGCGATCTTCCTGCTCAAGGACCTGCAGAAGTGGTACACCTCGGAGGATGCCGACTCGGAGCCGGAGGAGGAGGCGTCGACGCGGCTGGCCGAGCTGTTTGTGCACCTGCTGCCGGTGGTGCAGGACGTGCAGGGCAGCCACATTGACTTTGTGTTCGACGTGCTCGAGACCAACTTGGAGTTCTGCTCGCTCGAGCAGGACGAGACGGTGGCGCAGCTGTACCATACGCTGCAGCTGCTGGATGTGATGCGGGATCTGGCGTCGCGCAATGCGAACCTGCGCGAGTACTGGAAGGAGCGCAGTGCGGGGTGCATCGAGCTGGTGCGCGAGCTGTTCCTGTCGCTGGCGCAGCAGCAGGCGGTGTCGGGCCCCAAGCAGGCGTGCATCGATCTGGTGGTCGAGCTCATCCGCGAAACGTCCGAGGCGCCGTTCAAGCTGCACGAGACCGCGCCGGCGCTGTGCAAGCTGATGGTTCAGAGTGCGTCGCACGAGGTGCAGGTGCTCAGCTTCCGCCTGCTCACCGCCGCTGTGCGCGAGCACGTCAAGGAGCTCGTGGTCGAGTCGGCGGTGGACCGCGAGGCGCTGGCGTCCGAAGAGGGCCAGCAAAAGCTCAAGCTGCCCGCGGCACTCGTGGCCAACGTGAGCGACAGCCTGAGCTCGCAGCTCAACTTGCTCGTCGAGGAAGACGCGGCGAGGCGCACGGCGTTTGGCTACTTCCTGTCGTGGATTGCGTTGTTCGAGCACTTCGAGAATGCGTCGCTCTCGGTCAAGTCGACGTTCTTGGGCGAGATCGAGTCGCGTCAGCTGCTGGTGGACTCTCTACTGCCCACGGTGTTTGCACTCGTGGGGTTGGCGGACGAGAGTCGACGACCGTTTGACCCGAGCCGGTTTGTGCTGGAGGAGGTGTTCCTGGACGAGATGGATGCCGAGTCGTCGCTGACGGTGCTGCAGGTACTTGCGGCGCACGTGTATCTGCGTGCGCTCATCCACGTGCCCACCGCGGTGCGCAGCTGGTGGGTCAACATCAAGGACCGCCAGCACTCGATGCAGATCGCCAGCTTCACCACGCGACACTGTTCGCCCGTGATTGCGAACCGCGAGCTGTCACACCTGCGTGAACCCGAAGCTTTGGCCAAGCTGCAGGACGAAGCACTGTCGGTCAAGATCCTCTCGACCAATGAGGTGATTGCGACGTACGTGGTGGACGAGCATCCCATGGAGATTGGTGTCAAGATCCCTGCCGATTTCCCGCTCCACGGCGTTGAGATTCGCGACATCCAGCGCGTGGGCATCACCGAGGCCAAGTGGCGCTCCTGGCTCCTCGCCGTCCAGCAACTCATCACGGGTCAGAACGGCTTGATCTTTGATGCGCTCAGCCTGTTCAAGCGCAATGCCGAGGTGCAGTTCCAGGGCCTCGACGAATGCGCCATCTGCTACTCGATCATCTCGCCCATGGACAGGAGCCTGCCGACGAAACCGTGCAAGACGTGCAAGAACAAGTTCCACGCCGGCTGTCTGTTCAAATGGATCTCAACCTCGGGTGCCAGCACATGCCCGCTCTGCCGCTCCATTCTTTAGCCACATCATCACATGCAGCATCATGGGGAAGTAATAAAAAAATGGCAATCTCTAGCGGTGGTAGCGACCGGGTTGGAGGACGTCTGGATTGGGATACGCTGGTTTGCGCTTGCGCGTGGAGCGCGTGGGATCGGCCTGAATGTGGAGACTGGGGAGCGATGCAGTGCGGTCGATGAAGCGGAGCGGCACGAGCTTTCGGACGGGGTTGTAGGAGAGTGCCGACTCGGACTGGGTGGAATCTTCCTCCTGCGTTGCCGACTCGGATGCCTGCGATGCGTGCAGGCGGTGAGACTCGGCCGACTCGATCGGGTCCTCGGACGCCGCTTCTACAATCGAGTTCGCAGCCCCCACTGCCTCTTGCGAGCGCTGCATCGATACCGGCTTTGGCGGTGCTGGCTCTGAGGGTGCAGCTGCTGCTCGCGGCACACGCACAGGCATGCTTTCCTCTACGTCCAGACTCATCTGCTCGCCTTGACGTCCCCCAGTGCGCTGGTTCGACGACTGCGTAGCAGATGCGCCGCTCTGGGCATCCAGCAGACCATCGAGCCTCCTCAACGGCCCATCAGGATCCCTGGCGAGCTGCACCAGTCTGGCATCGTACTGGGCCAGGACGCGCTCGTCGAGCTTCTCTGCTCGCAGCACGCCATATGCGAGCGCAATGATCTTCTTGGCGTCCGCCTCTGCTCCGTCCAAATCGCTCGGCACCGCCTCGACGATGCAAATGACCGATTCGAGCAGTGCCTGCATGGCCGGCGTTGACACGACTGCGTTGAGCGGCCGGTACGACAGCAGCACGCCGGCCACCTGAAGTCCCAGCAGATGTGTTTCTCCTCTTCGACCGCAGCTCCCATCTGAAATAAGCGCAGGGACGACTTGAAGGCCGTCGGCGAGCTGGTGGGCAAGGTCGGTGAGTGGCACAGCGATCGCTTGCCATGCTTGCATGCTGCCGGCAGCACAGCTCGTGTGGCTGTGAGCCTGCGTGTGGCGGTGTGACGACTCGTACGACTCGGCCAGCACACGGTCGTGGAATCCAAGCTTGGCAAAGAGCCGCAAGGTGAGTTGCAGCGCAGCCGCGCGGTCGCCATGCGTCGGTCCTGCCGGGGTTCCCGGGGTAGATGCCGCGGCGAGCATGTCGACGAACGACGCGAGCAGGTCCGCAAATGCGTTGCCTTCGTCGGTGCTCTGTGCTTCAGTTGTCGCACCTCGACCTCTTTGTGCAGTCGGCTGCAGCTGCTGGCTTTGGGCGTGGACGTCGGGGCTCCACAGCGGAGGCAGGACTCCCGTCTCGCGAAACCAGTGCTCCTCGACCTTTTGCGCGTCGGCTGGCAGCTTGGTGCGCACCAAGCCCCACAGCTCAATGTGCGTGGCGTTGGCAGGGATGGAGCGGTCAAACGGCACATTGAAGTGGTGGATGAGCACGTTGAGGTACCGACTTGCCAGGTCCTCAGTGAGCTCAGTCACGGGCTCGCCGACCGAGCTTTGCGACACTTGAGACTCCAATGGGGCGTTGGCAGATGCACCCATCGCATCAGCGTGGTGGGCCGGGACACTCGCTTCGCCAAGATGGGCAACGGGAGGGATGTGAGAATGCCTGTCCACATCCCGTGCCGAGTCAATCGGCTCACTGTGTATCGAGCCTGGCTCAGGTGCGGATCCCGGCTGATTCTGGCGGGTTCCAACCGCCTCCTTGTGCAGACGTAGCGATACGTTTGTCGGAATTGCCTGCGTCTCAGCAAGCTGGCTGTGATCCGCATCGTAGCCCCTAGTCGACCAGCTGGCGTCGGTCCCATCAGCGACGTCGCCCGAAGATTGTTGAAGCACGCTCTCGAGCTCGTCTGGTGGCTCGTGGATCCCCGCCGCTTTACGCCAGCGCTCGATCTCGAGCATGGCAGCGAGGTTGCCCGCCATGTTCTGCATCATCAACCCCTTCAAACTGATTCCTCGCAGTCTAGATAGCCTTTCGAGCTCGTTTGCGTCGAGGCTCTCGCCGACGCCATCCCTCAGACTGGCACTCGCTGCCCGAACGGCCTCTGTCGAGTCGGCGCCAGCGTTACGTTGAGCCAGAGCCTCTTCTCTCGCCCGAGCAAGCTGCGCCTCGTAGAAGCTCCATGTCTTGTCGCCAAGCATGAGCAGGCCCTGGTCAGCGAGCTGCTGGCGGTCATGTGCGCCGCCAAGCACGTGGCCAAAGAGGTGGTGGAGCAGATAGTAGTCGAGGCCGCCCTTCGGATCGAGAATCGTGTTGGGCGAGACGGTCTTGGGCCGAAAGAGTCCGACGAAGTTTTGCAGTTCGGGCAGAGTCGAGTGGCGTTCGATTGGCACGATCAGTGCCTCGGGCCATGCCGTCTCGTGCCTTTGCGCAGCTTGAAGCCTCTGCTTTGTGTCCTCGAACATGCTCTGCCACTGTTCTGCGCTCACCTGACCCGGATTTACATAGACAAACAGGGGCTCCGGCTGCGAGCGCACTGGTCCCCACCTTTGCCGCGGATCGGGGCTGCTACTGTCCATCTGCGAATGTGCAGCCACGACTTGTTTGGCCAAGGCAGCACTTGTGTCGTTGGCGTAGCGAGAGGCGAGTGATTTGACCGAGACGCAGGGTTCGCGCTTCTCGCAGGCATGGAAGCGGGTCTTGGTATGATCCTGCGTGACGATGTCGGCGAGGAAGGGCGCTTCGCTGCGGGCAGCTTTGTACATGAGGTACTTGAAGCGGTCGACGTGGATCTTGCAGCCAAAGGCTTTGGCGGTGACCACCAGCATGTCTTCGTAACCCCATGTCCAGCAGTTGAGAAAGAAGTGTGTGTTGTCGGGATACATGCGCATGAGCGTGACCATGTCGAGGCAGGCTTGTTGCTTCGTAGGCACGTGTTGGTTGCACAGCAGGAGCTCGGTGTCGATGTAGATGTTTCGCAGGCGTAATGCAGACCTGCGTGCTCCACGAGTCGAAGTATTGGGAGCCGATGCGTTGCCAGGGTAATTCCGGGTGCCAAAACCAGTCTGCGACTCGTTCTGAGACTGCGAGAAGCTTTCGCTGCCTTGGTGAGACGAGGTAGTGGAGCTATCGAAAGATTCGATCTGCTCGGCCCACTGCTCCGTCGTTGGGTGGTCGTTGGAGCCCACTTCGGCGCCTGCGGTTGGCCAGAAGAGGTATGGAGAGAGCAGTGGATTGCGGGTGAGGGCTTCGCACCACCAAGGCTCTGCCCGCATGTCTCCGGTGTGCAACACTGCGCCATTTGATCCTTGTATCAAGAACATGGTGCCGCCGAACATGTGGTTGCTCTCGATCAAGGTGACCGTCACTGTGGAAGTTGGTGTGTAAGGGACCTTGGTGGGCACATTGTATGGGAGAGGATGCAGCAGATCAACGCTGCTAGCGTGGTATCCAGAAAGCTTGGACCTGGCAGCAGCGTGATCTGTCGTCACGCGAAGGTGGGCATAGGGTCGAACCACGCTGAGGCTCTTGCCAGCCTGCGCATCGCGGTCCTTTTCGATCCTGGTCTTTTGGCGTTCATATCGGAGCAGCAGCTGTTTCGTGGTCGCACTACAGTAGATGGGTGCGGTGATGCCGGGTCTGTCGAGTCCTTTGAGGTGATCCGTGTGTATGTGGGTCAGGAGATAGAGCAGCGGTTTGTCGAAGTGAGTCTGTGCGGGCTCAAAGGGCAGACTCTCGCTGTGTTGTCGAGACTGGACGGCGCCATGGCCGACTACGGAGCGGCGGTGGGCGAGTAGGGATGTGGGAAGTGGCACGGGCGCCTGATCAAAGTGGTCGACTCGAATACGAGGATACTCGAGCACGTATCCGTGCGAGTTGGTCATCGCTCCACGAAGACGACCTTGCAGTGTTTCGGGAGGAACGGGCCGGAACACGTCATGACCGAGGCGAGGGCATGGTGAGCCGATGCGACCACACAAAAGCAGATGGGACGAGGCACTTGCAGCGACTGTCGCCTATGGTGGGCTGAAGTCGAAGTGAGAAGCTTGAGCCAACGCTGTGGACGCAGGTAGTGGAGCAAACAACAACAGATGAGCTCTTTAGTTGGACGCGGAGACCCTGCATCGGCTTTAGGAGTCGCGCCGCTCAGTTGGGCGGCGCCAAGTTCGGCGGCTTTGGCCGCGGCGCGGAGGAGGAAATTCGAGCAAATCGGGCTCAGGTCGTCTCAACTTGGCCTGATTTCCCACCACCATCTCCATCGCCACCGCCCACTTCATCTCGGTTGGAATCCTTAGGCAGGCGCAGCCATCACCAACAACATTTGAACGATCGTCGTTACGCTGCAACCGTCACAACAAAGCATTCAGCATGATCTCGGTGCTAGTGGAGTCGTTCGAGCCCTTCCCGAGGCACCTCTGCCTCTCGCTGCCATCCAATGCCCTTGCGTCTGACGTCCTGCAGGGCTTCGAAAAGGCGCTTGGCCACAACTCGACCACAACATTCGCCGCCACCCACCATGGACGCCGACTCGCGCCCTCATCGAGCTTGGGCAGCCTGTCGACGGGCGGGGATGGCTTCCCTGTAGTGTTGCAAGTGCGAGCGCTGCTGCGTGGTGGCAAGGGAGGATTCGGATCGATGCTGCGATCGCAAGGTGGCAAGATGTCGGCAAATGCACGCAACACGAACAACGATGCGTGTCGTGATCTCAACGGCCGCCGTCTCGGTGTTCTAAAAGAGGCCAAGAAGCTCGCCGAGTACCTCGAGGGCGAGTCGGAACGCAAGCGCCAGATGGACGAGGCGCAAAAGAAGAAGTACGCCAAGTTGGAGAGGATGCTTGGACGCGCGCCTCGAAGCGAACGGGATCTCGCCGAGGCTGCAGACAAGATGATGGATGCTGGCGAGGACTTTGACGATCGCAGCGTCAGCCCCGAGGCGGGTCCGAGCCGTCGTCCGGCGCCTCAAAGCGCAGCGACGGGCAGCAAGCGCAAGGAACGCATCGAAGACTCGGAGTACATCGAGCAGAGCCGCGAGATCGTCGAGAATGTACGCTCGGCGGTGGCCTCGGCCATGATGAAGAAGAAAAAGAAGCTCAACAAGGCACCGGGTAAGTCGTCGACCAAAGCCGCCTCGGGTTCCTCCCTCGCCGCAACTTCATAAGAGCACGCGCAACAATATCCCTATCGATGTCGATCTGGCTATCACACGCCTCTGCTCCTTTCATCCCCTCTCATCCTCTGACTCTTCACTGTCCTTGCCGCGCTCTGACGAGCAAGCCGCCTCGTAACATCGCCAGGCTCTGTAAACTAATACTATACCATTCCGCATCTTGATTGTCACTAGGGCCGCCTGTGCCTTTCGATTGCGCTCACATGAAAGCATGCGGCACCGTGTTGGAGCTGATCTTGTCATCGTCGCAGTCGAGTCGAGTTGGATCAGTGCGCTCGGCAGGATGTTGAGCATCGGCCCGTCCGTCGGCTCGTGCATGATTCGAGCCTCTGCCCTCCACCTCATCACGCGGCTAGACTTCTGTTGGGGGAAAAAAAGCGACTGCCCACGGCACTTCCGCGCTCGGTCCTGCAGAGGAAAGCGTGCCGTCACGATTCGGCGCCCCTCCGTCCCCACCACATCAAATCGGAGCTTCCGATCCTCTGTCACACGCCATCACATTCTCAGCGATCATAGCGCTGCCAACCTCCCGCCGTCTCGAAGCGCTGCGCTCGTTGAGGAACATGTCGCCCTGAGCCAAGACCAGTGAAGGCGGTGAGCGTTGCAGCTGCATCACGCCAACTTTCTCAGCGGCACATAGGCCTGGAAGCTTCCTGATGGTGACCGCCACCGTGGCCCCGCCGCCACCGTCTCGAACATCGACACGGTCCTATCCTAGCCTGCTATGTGCCGTTCTTGTGGCCCTCGCCGTCATTTCGGCGGCAGTAGCAAGTCCGCCAGTCGAGCCGCTGTCGAGCAAGCTCATCTTCAACCACCATGTCGACTCTGATGCCGAATCGCTCGCAAACTATCGCGCCGAGGTCGAAGGCTTCCAACGCTGGAGCCGCGAGCGTGGCCGCATGCCCAGATCGGACGACAAGCTGCGCGAGCTCGAGCTTGGCGATCTCAATTTGCTCATCACCACCGATATCCATGGCCACATGGCGGGCCACCCCAAATTATCCCCTCCCGAGCCCAACTACTCGGGCGACTGGGGTCACTGGGCCTCGTTCGCGTCCAAGATGCGTACCAAAGCTCACTCCGAAGGCCGCGACCTCTTGCTCCTCGACGTCGGCGATCTGCACGATGGCACCGGTCTTGCCGACGGCTTCCCGCCATACAACAAGGACGAGCCCGGCGGCAAGGAGGCGGTCGACGGCCACGTCAGCAATCAGATCTTCTCCATGGTCGACTACGACCTCCTCACCATCGGCAATCATGAATTGTACAATTTCTCCGTAGCACAGGACGTCTATCAGAACTTTGTGCCGCAGTGGGGCGGGCGCTACATGACGAGCAACGTCAAGATCGCCCTGCCCGGCCCGGACGTCGCCAATGCCACCTACGCGCCCATCGGCTCGCTCTTCAACACGCTCGTCACGCCCGTTCAAGGATTCAAGATCATGTCGTACGGCATCTTGTTCGACTTCAAGCTTGCAGCAAAGGGCATCCAGGTGCAGCCGCCGCAGGAGATGGTGGAGGAGGACTGGTTCAACCACAGCCTCGACCGCGCGGAAAAGTGGGGGGTGGATGCCTTTGTCGTTCTCGGCCACATGCCAGTCTCGGGCGACGCGGGCTGGGATGCAGTGCACGCCAAGATCCGATCGCGCTTCCCGGACACGCCCATCAGCATCCTCGGCGGCCACACGCACGTGCGCGACTGCCGCATGCTCGACAGCCAGACCATGGCGCTCGAGAGCGGCCGCTACATGGAGACCGTCGGCTTCATGGGCATCCGCGACCTCCAGAAACGCAAGCGCGCCGGCAACAAGGGCAAGGTCAAGTTCAGCCGTCGCTACATCGATTCCAATCCGCGCAACTTTGTGCACCATCTCGGACTCAACAGTCCGCGCGAGCTCGCCACCAAGAAGGGCAGCTTCATCCGCTTCATCATGGACGCCATCTCCGAGGCGTGGGGGCTCTCGAGGCTGCACGGCGTCGTTCCGCAGGACTACTACCTCGACCGCGTGCCGTACGGCGACAGCTCGAGTCTGCTCAGTCTGCTGGCGGACGAGGTGCTGCCCAAGGTGGTGCGGCCGTCGGAGAAGGCACGGCGCGACCGCAAGAGTCTGGTGCTGATCAACAGCGGCTCGCAGCGCTTCGACGTGTTTTCGGGCCCGTTTACGCGCAACGACCAGTACATCGTGTCGCCGTTCAAGGACCAGTTCCTGTACATGGCGGATGTGCCGTGGGGCATTGCCAAGCATCTGCTGCACGGCCTGCTGACGTTCAAGCAGGGGGCGGTTGTCGAGGTGATGCAGGGCGGCACGCAGTACTCTGACGGCGATGCGCTGCTGCGCTACGGCAGCGGGTTTGTCGAAGACATTTTCGTGCGCTGGCAAAAGTCGCAGTGGTTCAAGTTCCTGCAGGCGGAACAGGTGGATGGGCAGCACGCCGACGAGCAGGGCAACGTCACGGCGAAGAGCGTCGAGCAGCTCGAGGCGGAGGAGGACGAGGCGCTGCTCAAGTTCTTCCACAAGTACGACTCGCTCGACAAGCCGTCGCTGGGGTATCGGACTGTGGACCAGTGTGCGGGTGCGGGCGACGATACGGTGCACTCGCCGCTGCCGTTTTTCCCTGACCAGCCCGAATACGTGGCGTCGAATCCGGAGCCGATGCCTGCGTCGGACGACGAGGTGGTGGACGTGGTTTTTGTTGACTTTATGCGCAAGCTCATCGTGCAGCTTCTCAACCGGTACGATGTGCAGCGCAACGGCACGGGCGCGTATAGGGTCGAGCAGCTCAAGAGGTGGGGCGATATCACGACGCAGCTGCTCTACCCGCGGTATGCCGAGATGGAGTGGCAGCCCGCCGAGGGCGCGCACAAGGCCGTGGCCGCGCAAGAACGCAGGGCGCGCAAGATGGGCTATGCACCGCTCGAGCTCATGCCGGACGTTGGTGCCGCGTCAGCTCATGAAGCGACGGATACGGCCGCCTCGAGCTCCAACTCGGCCTCCTAGCTACAGATCGACCTTTAGAGCATCTTGATTTTCGCATCCATATCACGCACGCACGCAGCAGCATTCTCATTCCACCTTGGCTAGTGTTCTCGGGTCAGACTTGCATTGTGAAATCACGATGGATGAGAGGCTACGACTTGATGGCGTGGACGCTTTGACGGGCGTCCATGTTTGTGATCCATGCTGCGATCTTTGGGAAAGCAGGGCTGTTGCCCGCCACGAGGTCTGCAGCTGGTGAGTTTCTGAGATCATCTGCGATGGGATACAGGAAAAGATCTGCCCACGTCACTGTTGCCTGGTCCCAGCTTTGCATTTGGTGTTCGACAATTTCCATGAGTTGATGAACTCTGTCGAGGCCAGGTTGGAGGGCCACGAGGATGGACTCGCTATCGGCGCCATTCTTCTTCATTTGAATCCCCGGTTTAACCACGCCTCCTTCCACAGCTGGATAGAGGGACTGAATGAAGCTGGCTACTTTTCCATCGAGACCAGCTCTTTCGATGACGGTTTTGGCATGGTTAATGCCCGCTTGGATCGTAAGGGGCGGAGTGAGGTGTTTGACGCTGCCTTTGGTGTGAACGATAGGTGCAAGGAACTCGTCAATGTATCGACGAATCGCACTCGGCTCATACAGCGTTACAATGTCCGAGGGCTGGGTGTAGAGACCGTCGGGACGGTGGACGAGAATGGGTACCGTCCCGTAGGGGTTACGAGACTTGATGTCGGCCGAATGCGCAGCCCGTTCAATGGCGATGAACGGGATCCCCAGCTCGTGCAGCCCAAGCGCAATGGATCGTGTAAAGGTGGAGGAGGAGGTGCCGAAGAGTTCGACAACTCCAAGGTCTTCAGGTGCTCCCAAGCGATCAGGCGTCGTCATTTTGCCGAAGGTGAGGTGGTGGAGAAGAGAAGAGAAGCGGAGAGAAGAGAAGAGGAGAGTTGGTGGAAAGGCAATGCGCAGGTGGAGGTCGACGCACGGTTGCGGCGCGATTGGAATGCGGAGTGTCGAGTAGAAGGAAGAATCGAAATTGCTCGCCGCCGGCGCGCGTGCGTCTCAAGCCTTTCGTCCTTGGTCGACTTTGCGACATGCTGACCGGCGGTAAGCACAACAGACCAACCGCCTCCGCAGACATTCATGACAGACACGTGCCAGTTCTGCCACCTTTCTCACTAGACTCTCAGCAGCTAGACCTTGATCAGGCACTTGGCTCCCGCACGACCAAAATGGCACAATCAGCAGCACACTGCGCACGCACAACCCCTGTCGATGCTTTTACGTCCAAGGTGGTCGGAATGATGATACATTGCGGTAACTACAGGTCCCAATCGAGTTCGTCATCGAGCTCCTCCTGCGTCTTTGGCTTGCCGCCATCACGGATGCTGCGCTTCCGGTGCTCTCCATCCTCCTCGTCCTCCTCTTCCTCGTCGATTGTATCTGGTCTTGCGTTGTCCGCATTTGTGGGTGCACCGGGCACGCTCGAGCGCTCGATCGCACCAACCGCGGTGAGGAGCAATTCGATGTCCTCGCACTTGGTCTTCATGCCGTCGAGGCCGATCTCGGGACGCAGGCCGACGATCTGGCGATGCAGCTCGCCGTTCCTGTAGATCAGCAGCGTGGGCAGGTTGCGGTCCGGATAGTTGGGGATGCACTGATCTCCGACGATGCTGACGAACTTCGTCGCGGGGTACTTTGCAGCGAGCGTATCGAGGTAGCCGGCGAGCAATCGGCACGTGTCAATGCCGTCCTTGTACAGGAAACACACCACACCCGTACCGCCCTGGCGCTGCTTATCCGTCCCCTCCGCAGGCTGTGCAGGCGCAGACTCGGCATCGGTGTCGGGATCGGTCTTGCTGGCTTCCGTCACTTCGCGCGTGTAGTCGGGTCGGCTGATGGGATAGACGCGCCCGAAACGCGCCTTGGTGGTTTCGGCACGCAGCTGCGCCATGCGCTGGCGACGGATCTTGTCGAGCAGCCTTTCTTCTTCATCGTCCACTGCACCTTCGAGCTCGAGGTCGAGGTCAGAGACCGTCGCCTGTTTGAGCGCTTGGCTGCGCAGCTCCGAGGCGCTCGGAAGCTCGGGCGAGGGCGAGCGCGAGGGTGGTTTGGGCGGGATAATGCCATGTGCGCGCAGGGCGTCGTGGAACTCGGTGTCCTGTGTAGCATCCACCTCGGCCTGCATGATGGACAAAAGATTCGAGTGAAAGGTGGTGGGCGTGTCTGTTAGCAGCAAGGAAGGGAGGAGAGGGGTCGAGCCTGTTCTTCTCAAACACCAACCGCCTCGGGCGTTCCGACACGCATGGAGCTTCTCAAAGGGCTGTGCCAGCTTCCGACTTCCGGATCCCGACGCCGCGTCGAAAGTTGAGTGGCGCGGCGCTTAGGCGCTGCATCAACAGCGTGGAGGCGGCGGGGGGGAGAGCACGCGTGTTGCGCGTGTCACCACGCAGCGGCTCTGCGACGCACAGCCAGCCAAGAAAGACAGAGAGAGAGGACCCTGAGAGACCCAATTTATTACGACTCTGCTGCTGGCCGAGACAAACACGGCCGCTCCCCCGCCAGCCCGAACGCTGTTGACCCCTTTTTGGAGACTACGCAGCGTGCAGCGCTGTCCAACAGCCAGGCCCGATATGATGCTCTCGTTCCTGGGCCGCCCTCGCTCCTCAGCCGGCCATCACCGCATTCGCATCCGTCCGAACTTCCCTACAACACCCTTCCATGCTTCGTCCTAGCCCTTAGAGCAACAGGCTTGGGCTCGGACATGCACCCTTGACCGGCCGGCCCTCGCTCTTCTGGCGTCCGCATCGCACCATGCCGGCATTCCTGAGGTCCACCAAGCCCAGTGCTGCGGCGCTGGCCATGCCTCCGCCTCTGCCAAAACCGCAA